TTTGATTTATAAAATAATTGCTTTAAGCAGAGAAAATAATTTCTTCGTTTATATTTTTATTTTTTATGTCACATTATTTTGTAAATATTAAAATGTGTTTATTTTCTCCTGTACTATATTCTTTTTTATTTTATTTTATTTTGTTTTTGCAGGTGGACTCTGTACATTCTGAAAAAAATGAGAAAAGAACGTTTTTAATAAAAAGCGGTTGGGTTGGAGGGGTGTGGCCTAGTCGTCACATGACCTGCACAAACCAAACACGTGCTTCCTGTTGCTGCCCGCACGTTGCCTGTTCCTTTCTGATTTTTTGAGCCACAGTAAGAAGAATACAAAGTTTGCGGCTCTGAAAACGGAGGAAAATCTCTAAAATGCCGCGAGCCAAGCAGTCAGCGCGGAGGAAGAAGTTTGACTACAACCGGAACCGGAAGAACGTGAAGACGAAGAACAAGAAGAAGTCGAACCCGAGGATCGAGCAGTGAGTGTTAGCATGTGTTAGCATATTAGTAGGAATGATGCAAAAACACGTTGTTAAAGCTGCAGCCAAAACATATCAGTGCCCCGAGAAAGTTGATTGTTGGTCCCATTTGTTCCATTTAGATAAAGTCTTCATAAAAGAGAGTGTTTTATACTTTTAACACAAGTATCTGAGTGTGAACTGAATATTTGTCATGAAATCAGCTGTTTGATGTTAGAGGATGAATGTACAGAGGCCCACTAAAACCTCACCTGCTGTTTTTAATGCAGTTGTTTGAGTGATACACAGACGGAGGATGGAAATGATCATTAGTGACGGTGACAGGCACTAAAATGTCCTCTTTTATGTGAACCAACAACTGAAATGTTGCAACAGATGTGCAGGGTGTCTTTAAAAATGCTGAGAAAACTGGACAAGTCATGTCCTTAAGAAATGGAAGGAAAATAAATCCCGCAAAGACCTGACACAGGGCCTGAGAGATGGATCTGCGGTTTACTGGCTGTCAGGAAGTCATTGTCAACAGAGGGAAACAGGAAGATTGGGCTGAGGTTTGCCAGTTATCCAAACACTGGACTGAAAATCAGTGGCAGCAGATCTGATGGAGGGATTATTCCCCATCATCACTCCATCAGAGGAGCCTCTGTGATGGTTTGGAGCTGCATTTCAGCCAGTGGAGCTGGGTATCTTGGCAACACCGTTAAAAAGTACCATTAGATTTTGATCCACCACGCAGATCATCTGGAAAGCATCTGATTGGCAACGGTTGCATCTGTCAGCATGACAGTGATCCCAGTTTCAGTGCAGTAAAAGCATATCTGGATAGAACAGCATCAGTCATGGATCGGCCTCCACGAGCCAAGACCTCGACGTTATTGAAGCACTGTGGGGTCATGAAAGTGAAAGGAACAAAAGAAGAGCTTTGAATGTCCTCAGAAAGCTTGGCGAAGTATTCCTGAAGACCTCTTAAAGAACATACAGGCTGTGTTGGACGACTAAGGGCTTCATGACAAATGTCGATTACATGCATCTTTGCACGTTTCAGTAAATCTTGAGGTGGCCCAAGAACTTTAACGTTTGATTAGTAATAAATCTGGTGAATAACTGTTCCTG